TGGCGAATTAAAAACGTTCACATCAATCACATCAATAAACCACAGATAATTGCACAATTTTTGATTTTCCCAAAATCAAAGATGGTGGACAACATACTATACAAACTATTGGCTCTACATACGATACTAACAATATCGAGGGGACTGGTTGAAGCACCCATGTAAAACTAATCAATGATGGCAGCCAAACCACGTCACAATTCCAAATTATTTTATGTCAAAAAAAATCAGTGTCTCTAAACCCTCAGAATGGGTATAAAAAACCCAGATTGAATTCTTTAATCGACTACTGAGCTGAACATTTGAACTTGCTGAGTGAGACATAATACAAAATATAAAAAAAACAAGTTATCTGCCAAACCAGGAGGCTGATCGCCATTTTGAAAATTATTTCTACAAGTCCTCATTAGTCAGTAATAGAACACAAATTTTGAGACTTCTAGCTACAGCCAATTTCTCTAACAACTTTATGAAGATTAAACATGAATGTTATGAATGAGAAAGAGAAGAATTGAAAACAGGACAATAATAGGTGTAGTCTTGTGAATCCCTAAAATGTGGATGTTTTAGACCAAAAGAAAGTGAAAAATTTAGCACTTCTTTGTTATACTAAATCCATCAATGATGTTACACCAACTATCAACTGATCCAACAAACCCGCGTCTTTGAAAACCAAATAGTTTTTGCGTTTCAGAACATAACTATGTAAAGGCATGAACTTTCACCAACACTTGTTTGAATTGTCCTAAGTACATGGATTCATTTCAGTGATCTCCGAACCATGATCTAAAGAGACGCAACAATGTTTCACCGAAAAAGATACTTGTGTTATATGGAAATTGAATGATGGTAAAATATGTTGCCTCAGTGGTTACGTTATTTTTAGATGAATAAGTTATATCATTCGAATATAGGATTGGAAGTAAGTTTATTTTTTACTTTACTAAAACCCCGACATGACAACAGTAATACATATTTAATGTAAAAACATGACGAATGGCGAAAGTGTGATATGACAACCTACATTTAGTAAAAGTAGAAATTGTGAAGGTATGATATATGTAATGCTAAAATGCACCATGTAGAGTGAGGGGGTAGAAACTATAGGTATAATAACAGAATACACATGTCAGTCTGACATGTTGGAATTCATACTGCAGCTCACCTTTCATAGTATATGTGATTCTGCCATTCTCTCCGGAATCATCATCCGTGGCAACAACAGTAATCACTGTGGTATTAACATCTTCATCACCAGGTACCTCGGCATCGTATGGTTCACCAATGAAAGTAGGTTCATTATCATTGACATAGATAACCTGTATGTAAACTCTAGTATCATTCCTTAAAGAAGGAGTTCCACCATCTTGCGCTGAAACCCTCAATGTGTAGTTCGATTTAATCTCATAATCAATTTCAGCATTTGTAGCAGGAGCGATGATTCCAGAATGCACTGTAAATTACATAACTTGTTACAACGTAATACCGGCATATGCAATTCATGCAAGTATGTATGTATGTATGTATGTTCTCTACTCCAGACGTACGTACACCGAGCTCCTGGAAAATCGCTGAAAACACCGTTTTTACAAAGTCAGTGAGTTTTTATTTCTATACATAGTTATTTGTAAATATCTTGTTGTTACTTTGGTTATCGTTTTGAGCGTTTTAGCATAAGTCTGCCTTTTATTTTTTGGTGCTGGTGTCGTGGTCTGCCACGTCAACAAGCAAGATGGCTGCCCGCAGGTAAAACCG